AAATATTTTTAGTAAAGAATTACGTATACAATATTTTGTATCTTAGGGCACAGTACTAGATTCTTTAATTTTTATTATATATATTAATGGACTACTTAACCAAAATATTGATGGAGACATTTTCTGTTTTTCAGATGTCACAAACATTWCATTCGGTATTCGGTAGTAACTGTTTAGATGGTATTGAGAAAAAAATAACGGCTGAACTTAAGAATGATTCATCCTAGTTGAATAATAATTCTCTACAACTTAATTTCAATAAATTCTTTTCTTTACACTTAAAAATTAATAATAACCATAATATTGAATTTAATAAATTAATGCTAAATAATAATTCTTTTACACGTGATACTAGTTATTATTGCTGTTGCTCTTAGTCAAATATTATTTAAGCCTGCATCTTAATGACCGTCTATTCTAAAATGGAATAATGGAATATACATATCAATAAATTAATACATGACTTAAGAAAATTCTTCTTTTTTATTGAAATTCCAAAAAAATATTCTGAGCGATAAACTCTGAGTTATATAGTATACAAATATTTAATCCAATCCACAGTCTCATATGGCATGCCCTCTGGGATTCTGCTTTTAAAACACTTATTATTGAATTAGAGACTATATTAAATTAATTAATGACTTGTTTATTCATCAAGCTATAGTTATACACGCTACCTTTTTAGTGTTTGGTATATAAATAAGAATAAATATTTAATCTTTATTTCATTCCCTTATAATGTGTTTGTACGCTATTATTCAAGCATAAGAATACTATCACTTCATGACTACTCATACTCATAGAGTCATAAGCAATACAAAATTTAAAAARAAACTGYCAATATGAATATTTCTAAATAAAGAACAATGTATGCCCAATCGRGGACCACCATATTATGTATTTGTAAAATGTTGTGTTTAATTTAATATTGATTCACAAGACTTTTCCTAACGTTTTCAAAATACTTGTTATTGATGYCACTGTAAATAAAATGTAAGCTGGTGCATAATACACATGATAAAATAATTTCCTTTATTGTTGAGATTTCTATTATATACATTTATTTTATTTTATTTATAACAATTGTTGTGAACCATTATTACTTTTAATGTAACTTTATTTTTTCAAGCACGTATTGAAATGTTATAAGCTACTTTAGAGCTCTCATTTTCACACATCCATTAGCTTGAAGGTTAAGTTAGGTTAGATAATTAGCAAAAATGATTGTGTTTTTGTGAAATATTTTTATAGCTGGAATTTATTCAATAAATAAATAAGTAGTTTAGGTAGCTATACTAATAATATCAACGTACAATGTAATACATTATTTATTTATTTGATAAAAAACKGTCATACACCCTTAGTATAAAGTTAAAAAAAATATTTTTACATGAAGTAGCAGTAATAATATTGTTAATAGTAATTAGTAAGTTATAAAATAATATTCAGATAATTACACTTAAGAACATAAGATAAATAGGTACACATTATTATTATTTATTATATAGTATAATTATTAGTTTGCATTAGTAATTGAAAATCAAGATTTATTTGAATACAGTGTTACTCAGTAGAATAGCCAGATAAATTGCATCCCTTAAGGGTAAATAATAATTGAATTGTGTAACACATTAAACAATTACAATTATTATATTTGATGATATAATCCTGATTAAGACATGTGTCTATAAATATTGTTTCATAAGTCTATATAGCATAATATTGTCATTACAGCTTTCGATTTGGAAGTTAAATAATAGGCAAATGCCTRCCCTAAGCCGAGTTGAAATTTAAAATGAGTTAAAAATAGTTTTAAAAAAAACCTATTAATTCATATAGTAACTACATTATTTTGTCATTACATATTCACGATTAAAGATCATTTTAATATGTTGTATGTTTAGGAAAACGACAAATCTGGCCAACGTGTTTTAGTTGTTCGTAATAATGTTGGTACAACAAGTGATCAAAGTATTGAGTACCCACGCGCGCTTTAGTGCAGCTCACTTAGTCACAATAAATTATCAGTAACATTGCTGACGCGTTTATGCAGTTGTAGTAAGTTGTTCATCCAACTATATTTCGAAAATTRCCCATAAGGCGAATCAAGATTAATATCATAAAAAAACTATTAAGTGATTCAGTTATTTTTTTTTATTATATATTATTATATATCGCCGATTACAGCTCATTTTCATATTATATTATATGCTTTGGAAAACGATAAACCGGGCCAAAGTGTTTTTTTTTTTTATAATTCGTCCGATATGATTATAATATACAATATATTATATCACCTTTATTCTATAATTAAATCGTTTATAATGACGTATTGGTAATAACAGCTTGGCAGTTGACGAATATTGTCCCAACGAATTTTATCTACAATATTAGCTACTTATATTATTTACCAAGCGATAGTGAAGTAATGGTTTACTATTACAGAAACAATTTGTAAATATTCCTACATAACATTGGAAATAACTTGCAACGTATTTAATTATTTTCTACAATTTGTTTTTATTTTTTAAAAATATGTACTTACCCATGTATAGTGTAGGAAATTTGTCATTTAATTAGGCATTTTTTTAAATTTTGCTCTGACATCACCATTTGTTCATAACGAATTATTTTAARCGGCCGCTTGATAGTCCGTTATATGGGCGATATCTGCTGTAGTATACTATTATTAAGATCGTAATATTATTATCATAACGTTAAATCGTCGATACGACATGGTCAAAGCACTGCGCTCTCTAGTGCAGATCACCTTGCCGCGATCATCGCGATAAAACAGCTAACGCATTTAAGCGGTCACTCACTATATTTTGAAACTTGCCTCGAGATCGTCAATCGCGCGTTTGTTCTAGCCTTACAGTGGCGTCCATRTGTTGATGACGTGCACGAGTTACAAAATATATAATGAAAATGTTCGTCGTCGTCATTATTTCTGCAGTACGCTTACAATAATACATAATATTGAGCCAAGTGACAATAGAATTAATGTTTTTTACATAATGATAACATAATATCACACTTACGGTTGACCTATCTCAAAGGATGGCGAGTTAACTTTTAGTGAGTTTCACGATGTTAGAATAGAGCATACTTACAACATAGCATACTATATGTGACCTGAACTTGGCTGCCATTCGTGAAGGATTAATATTTAGTTTGTATTGTGCCCGGTGTCCATATATCCTTTTCTGAATTATTATTAATACAATTTAAATTAAGTATGCATTTTTTTAATGATATAACCCTGTTCGAACAGTGTGCCAGTGTCGTAGATGGAAGTGTATTTTAGTCGGCTGTATAAATRCAAAAATAAAATTTACCAAGTGTTTCAGATTTAATATAAAAAGTAGGCTGTCATATAGTTCTACTTCATATTCGATAAAAACATTACCATGAAGATTGATGACATCATAGAGGCATGTTGTAAACCTCTCCCCGCCCTCCTAAATCATACAAATATTTAAATTTAAAATGACCAAATTAACTCTSAAAAACCAAGCTTTGTGCCTGTCGCTGTATATATACTATATTGTGTTATCAACTTCAATTTCTGTACGAATTGAAGTTACAAAACGCTTGATTCACTTCCTTTAWGATCTACTCACATATAAACAACTAACGCTTTCGGTGATTTAACTAAAAAATACCGAAATTAGGGTAAGAATACTAGATTAAATCCCTGATGTTGAAGCACACAAGTATAGTATAGTATAATCTGAAAACATATTTGAAAACATGCAAAYTATTTAAATTTCATTAACGGGTCTACGAACAATCTACTAGTAGATAGATATATACTAATAAATTTAATAAAATAAACATATAGCGTAAATAGTGTACGAATAAAAACCAGTTACTATTTAAAAATGTTTTATCTTTATCATTAGCCCTAAGATAGTGAATGCATTAGGTAAATTACTAGTCTTACTTGTAATACGTCGTCATTGTACAACATTGTACAACATAATACTGTATTTTCGTTGGTAAAAACACTTAATGAATTAAATAATATTATTATTAAAAAACACTGATCTAATATCTTCYCTCCAACACGATATTTTATGCTTATGGTGTGATTTTTCTCTATAATATAATAATTAATCTATAGTCACGCGGCGTTTTAGGTAGGCAATTTAGGTACATGGCTGCCGGGCGTGCGTTCGTTTGTCTTGTATTTCATATTCTCTTGATTTTCAAATTTT